TGATGTCATGCTGTCTGATGTGATGATGATGATGATGATGTGCATGTGAAACCACTGAAAAATTGCCACAAAAGAAGTATGGTCAACAGCAGCAGCAACATCACACTCCTAGTCACCACCACCATGAAATTCTCTCATTGCTACTAGCCATCGCATCAGAATAGAAAGATGTGGGCAATTCAGATATTTTGCGTAAATGCCAAACATATCTCCAAGAGTACATCTTGGTAGATGAAAGGTGTTTACAGCTTTGCTGCATGAACTAGTTGAGAGGCGTACGGTCGATTTTCATGCAACCCACCGGAGCTGAGCATTCTGGAAGCTGTGTTTCAAACAGCTAATGTTCACGCTAACGGAACCCAACCGCTAATCCAACCAACAGGTAGGCGGCGTTACGTGTTAAAACCGATAGCTTTGGCGGACGGGTATGTGGTCTGTTTATACAGGTTCAATTCATCTGAAGATCGTTCTTGAATGTTTTTCATAATTTTTGTTGAGCTGTGTGGGTGGGCTAGCTCCACGACGGTTGAGTAGGGGGATTTGCGTGAATTCGAGTCGCGTTGAACCTTCTGCCATTTCTGCTGCTGACAACCGCACATCGTCACATATCCATTCGGCTTATGTGAAACTACTCTTCATACACTAGCCACCTCCACCGTATCGATCATCAGCCCCTGTGGTGTGGGTCGTAGACCCCATCCAAAACTTCCACTATTTCCTGTTTCATCATTAATCATTGACAGCATGACATCAGTGTTCAACACAGATGCTTTACTGCCGTTTGCAGCGTCTATCCCACCATCACCGAATCTGGCCAGCGTCTGATATCAGTCTGCATCCTTTGGCAAATTGTTTTTCATCTGTGCTTACCAATTCCATAGCCGTTTGTCCTATGTAGACCTTAGTTCAGCTGTTGTGTGCAATTTTATGCGTAGTTTCTGGTCCTTCCAACCGTGGATCGTTGAGCGATGCCCCAACTGAATCGATACTGAACGTAACGTTTTCCCTTCAGAAGCGCTGCTCTAACGTTGGCTGCATTCAGCGCACTTCAAACAAACTCAGATAGTAAAAAAATCAAACAATTGCTCCTGCTTTATACGGATTGACTTGTGCCAATCCATTTCCTACTAGGTCTTGATATCACCATCAAACTCACAAGATATCCGCTTTCTTGAAGACGTAGAACCCGACCAACATTTTAACCTAGTCAGATGGTCAGTCAAAACTTTTGTGGCCAAATCGGGAGTTATCCAGGCAATAAATCTACTGATTACAGACCAAATTTCTGAAAAGAATTCCGGCTGTTACTGAGTTGTGATGTTCTAGCCACTGCTTTCGAAAAGGTTTCGAAACCCCTCCAGTTAGGTCTAGGAACTGTTCCCGAAGTTGGTTCTTCTCATGTTCTTTTTGGTGATTCACTCCTGAAACGACCGATAGCGTTCAAAATGAATGAAGTTTCCAACAGTGTACGTTTTTTTTCCGGAATTCTTTTATATTCCCCTAAACAGCAAATCATATTGCTCTTTCATGTATCCGCTCCAAAATAACCCAATGAGTCTTCATATATCTTGAGAACGGTGTAACGAAGACAGCTTCTGTTTGCCTTTTTAAGTGGTCCATACTAAGTTTGATTCATAGTTGGGACAGAACTGAACCAGATCTAAGCCAGCGGATTAAAGGGCAACCTGAAGAAGTCAAAACTGAGTTTTTCAAACATGAATGGACTTAAGCATCGACATCAAATATCAGAAAGTCGGATCGGATATGTCTCAACTATGTTGATAGCACTGCTTTGCTGATAACGTCAAAGCAGTATTTTGAATGTTAAGGAGACTATTAGGATTTTATCCTCTTAAGGCAGTGTGACTCACTTTTTTCCATCTGTCGTTCATAGGCGCTTCATTTGGTCAAATCGAACGCGATGATGTACAGATGCCAACACGTGGGATTCAATTATATCCACTATATTGCAATTATTGTCAGCAGTTAATTTATGAAGAGCCTGCAACTAACGAGCCTCCTACAGACGGACCGATCACTGAGCTTGGTCTGCGCTCATCAGTGGAGTTTTTGGAGCCCCGGTCCCTGCCAATAACACAATCCGTTAGCGAGCGCAATTTAATACACTGTGTTCAGGTGGTCCATGAGGTGCCAAGGATTGAAACGAGGTAAGCCCAATATCGGATTAGCATTTTACAGGAGCAGAACACAGTTATAGTCCTCTTGCTAAAATACTTCAATGCCAGGTATTCGGTAGCAGTTTTCATGTCTTTCGCGTGAAGTAGTTTAGGTATTTCTGTCCTGGACGCTTATGTGCAAATTACCCTCTAACCTCGTGTTCGATCATGAGGGTGCAACTATTTGTGTGCATCTGTTATTGATGTTGCTTCACTTCCTCAATCAAACAATAACAAGGCCGCAGCTCACTTCTTGGTCTGATATTACCAAGCTAAGGTTTGCAGTGAAAGAACCACCAAATGTGCACTGGTTGTACACTAAAACCTGATCAAAACCCATGTGCGGGGTGTAGCATTTAAAGTTTGTGCAATGAGAACATTCTGGGAATTCGGACGGCTTCTGGTTGCGACATTGGCAACTGGCATTCAGTCTATCCTGATACATAACTGGCAGTCGGAGGCTGGCCTGATGCTGAACGGGCGAGCGACTTGTTTTTCCGACCATTCACGTCCGATTTGGCTTTATTGGCCATGGTTGCGCCTAATCGCGAGTGGCTAAGATGACTTATGTGTCAAATTTGCTTGAAGATACTCATTACCAGTGGATTCTTAAAATGAATGAATGCGCGTTTCACTGTATGTAGCGTGGTCCTTATTTGTTGCTTTAGTCATGTGAAGTTTGTTAAAGTGTTAGATAAAAGTCTACACCAGCGCTTAAATTCCTTCATTTGCCATCACTTGTCCTGGAAAACGGAGCGTGACTTTAAACCGTGGACGAATTGCATGTGTTATATATATATACATA